ATACAGTAATTGTACATTCACATTGTCAGAAAGGTGTTTAATTTTTTTGCAATGTAAACTTTTATCAGCTTCAGTTCACCTAAAGATTTACTAAAACATACAATTTGATCATGGATATCTGGAGTTTTGAATGCAACTACTGTATATTGGCACTATTGTTAAAATATAATTTAATTGTATAGTGTCTAATCTGCCTCTCTGAGAAAGATCAAAGACTATCAGCAGAAGAGTATGCTGATTGGCAGATAGTGTGTGCAGATGAACCATGTTTTCTACTGAAAATTTATTTCACATTACGAAGTAATGCTTATTTGAAAAAAGAAAGTAATAATAGGGTTGTTAACATACAATGATAATTTTAAATGGCCAGGTATTCATGCTAGAAGGATTATGAGGTTGAATAAATCTACAAGGCCCTGCTTCCCTAGTAGCTTTAAGTGCTGTGATTTCAAAATGTAAAGAAACAATGGGAATTGGGGGGAGGGATTAAAATTATAAAACAAAAAAACAAGTAGCTTTAAATAAATAAATGAAGTGGAATTAGAAGGTCACTAGGCGTTGATGTAACCCAACGTTAATTAATGTTCAGTTATTTATTTCACAGCTATATCATTAAGTAGGACTTGAATATTGATTTAGCTTAATTGATCATTAGGAAAGGACAATGTTAAAACAAGAGATCAATGAAAACTGAACTTTGGGGGGGGGGCATGTTACATGTAATATATACCAGCAAATGTTAGAAGACAGATTTTATGAAGTCCTTAATTTCTGTTTCTAAAATATGCCCCCCCCCAAAAAAAAAAAAAAACCAACCCTATGCATTTCAGTTATATAATATAGGGTGATTTGGATACAGAGCCTGAATTTGTAGCCATTTAGAAGATATAGAAATCACACCTTTTCTCTGTTTTCTACCTCTTATACTAAGAAAAAATGAGTTTCCACTGCCACAGCCCCTATAACTAGCCTATAGCTAAATTTGATATGATTAATCCCAATATCTAAATAATTCATCTGCAACATTTTCAAATCCAGAAATGTAACTGCCAGCTACAATAGAAATGATGGTTTCACAGATTCAAAACTTATCCCAATGTTGTTACCACATTACTTAGCTATGGTTTTGGTTTCCACGCACTTTACCCTGCTGTACAACAGGAATTGTTGCAAACATTGATTAATTTCGTCAGCAGAAAGCCTTAGTTGTTCAGAGCACATTTTATAAATTAAAGGGAAAGGATTATTTATTTATTTAAAAGTAAAGGTAAAGATTCCCCTCGCACATACATGCTAGTCATTTTTGGCTCTAGGGAGTGGTGCTCATCTCTGTTACAAAGCTGAAGAGCCAGCACTGTCCGAAGATGTCTCCATGGTCATATGGCTGGCATGACTAAATGCCAAAGGCACACGGAATGCTGTTACCTTCCCACCAAAGTGGTTCCTATTTTTCTACTTGAATTTTTACATGCTTTCAAACTGCTAGGTTGGCAGAAGCTGGGACTAGTAATGGGAGCTCACTCCGTTATGCAGCACCAGGGATTAGAACCGCCTTTCTGATCAACAAGCTCAGTGTCTTAGCCACTGAGCCAACCCGTCCCTCTATTTATTTATTTAGCATGTTTATTTGTTTATTTATATATGTATGTATTTATTTATCTATTTATTTATTTAACGTATGGAAAAAGGGAAAGGAAAATATATGCTATGGGAATTATACCAGGTTTGTATGCTGGTAACCTCAAGGATAACCTCTTGATGACAAGTGCTAAGTGGCATGAATATTGCAGCCGAAATTGGTTTAACATCCTAAGCTTCTTCAGACTACAATGCTTCCTTATATCTCTACCAATATATTTAATGGTATCCTAAAGCTATCGGATTCCCTGAATGAAGCTATGGGGCACTATAGTAAGAACTCATAGAAAGTTTGATGGAAAAGGTTTTTCTCATACTGGAGAATATGCAAATTCATACATTTTGATAGGATTTATTTTGTGAAAAAGGGCTTTTCTTCATGAGAAAGACAAGATATATGTCTTCAAATTAGATGAAGGACACATCCATTTGGTGGATTTGAAATTACAGCATCATTGGTTCAGCTGCCAAACTTTTCAAATGAATCAAAGTTATTGTCCTAAGCTATTGAATATTTTTAATATATATTTACTTGACTTTATGAAGAGCTTTCCTAAATGGAAAAGAGCTGCTGGACTGCTGGAAGAAAATTGCTTACCATTACAGATATACAAAGACTGAAAAGAAAGTAATAATGACCTGCTAATACAAATCAAATCTAATCAAATGAATGAGAAAAAAGATATCTAATAAGAATGCACCAGTTCTGGAAAGAATAACATCCAGAATCATAAATAATAGAACAGAGGTTAGTAGATCAACATTGATTTATAATACAAAATAAAATATTCACAGAAGTAGAATTGAAAAAAAGTCTACCCAAAGGTAGGAAAACCAGAAAAATAATGACTATGAATTCTTGCACTCAGCAACATTGACAGATTCTACTTACCAAGGAAAATATGTGGATGTGGATTGTTGTACAAAGAGTTGAAGAAGAAAAAAGGATAGAGTATTAATTTCTAAAGGACAGTGAAGAAGATGCAAGAAAGGCCAAATAAAAAAAGAGACATAACAAGGCAAAATATTGCTTGATCAGTATGTAAAAAACATAATAGGCAAAGCAGATATGGTAACAACAAGACCTGACAATGGCGAAGTGCAGAAAACCTGAAGAAAGAAACACAAGGACTAATTCTGGCTGCACAAGACCAAGCCTTAAAAACAAATGTATACAAAGCCAGACTTAAGAAAACAGAACAGACAGCAAATGTAGCTTCTGCAAATAAGCTAAAGAAACAGTAGACATCTAGTTAGCTACTGCAAGAAAACTACATAGACGAGAAACAATGGCATGACAAAGTGGCACATTGGTGCATTGGAATAGGTGGAAGACATACTATTTTCCTGCAAGCAAGAACAGGTGGGGCCACAAAGTAGACAAAGTAATAGAAAATGAAGAGGATAAAGTCTCTCTGAGACTTTAGAATTCAAATAGACCAGCATCTGTTACATAGCACTCCAGATTAACAGTTGTCAATAAGAAAGACAAAAAATTCTGGATAGTGGATGTGGCAGTACCTGGAGACAGCAGAATAGAAAAGCAAGGTGAGGGGGAGATAATAAAATACAAAGATCTGCAAATAGAAATAGAATGGCTGCAGCAAAATAGAGCAAAGCTTGTATCAATTGTAATAGACTTCTTGGGTATAAACTCCAAACAACTGGAGGGCCACTTGAATGCCATTGGCATTGACAAAATCACCACCAGTCAATGGCAAAAGGCAGCTTTATCTGGAATAGTTTACATCCTGCAACAATATTTCTACTTTTAGTAAAAACTCCCTAACCTAGATCCTTGGAAAGGATCTGGTAGATGGACAAAAATTCTAAATCTGGTCTCAACATCTGGCTGAGTGTGTGACTAATCATCATCATCATATTCATCATCATCATCATCATATTCATCATCATGATCATCATCCAACATAATATTTGATTTGCTATCTCCTTTTGTACATTGCACATGCATACACACATGCATCAATTTCACAATGTCTGTATAGCATCATCATTCCAGTCAAGCCAAACCTGATATATATGTGGCTTGCATCGAGTCAGTACTCTCATTTTCTAAGAGGGACTGACAAACAGGTTGCAGATAGTTTCTAATGATACCTTAGCCAGGCAAAGAAGAAAGATGCCTCCAGAGTACTCATTCCATGAACTTCCATTTATTTGATACATTAGGACAGAAGTGTTGAACTTGTGGCCCATGGGCCAGATGCATCACATGCTGGCCACCCCCATCCCCAGTTTAGCGAAGGGGGAAAAAGTCATGATATGTCATGTGATGACAAAGTGATGCCATGAGTTTGACACACCTACATTAGGACATAAAAAGATGCAAAGGTAAGTGATTAAAACAACAACACGTCTCAAAAGATTACATGATTTATTATCATTGACAAAAATGATGAAAAGAATCAGCATAAGGACAACTGCTTAGATACAGGTGAAACTCAAAAAATTAGAATATTGTGCAAAAGCTCATTTATTTCAGTAATGCAATTCAAAAGGTGAAACTAATTTATGACATAGACTCATTACATGCAAAGCAAGTTAGTTCAAACCGTGATTTGTCATAATTGAGATGATTATGGCTTACAGCTCATGAAAACCTCAAATCCACAATCTCAGAAAATTAGAATATTACATGCAATGATTGTACATAGAACAATATCGGACCTCTGAAAGTATAAGCATGCATATGTACTCAGTACTTGGTTTGGGCCCCCTTTGCAGCAATTACTGCCTCGATGTGGCGTGGCATGGAAGCTATCAGCCTGTGGCACTGCTGAGGTGTTATGGAAGACCAGGATGCTTCAATAGCAGCCTTCAGCTCTTCTGCAATGTTCGTTCTCATGTCTCTCATCTTTCTCTTGGCAATGCCCCATAGATTCTCTATGGGGTTCAGGTCAGGCGAGTTTGCTGGCCAATCAAGCACAGTAATCCCACAGTAATTGAACCAGGTTTTGGTGCTTTGGGCAGTGTGGGCAGGTGCCAAGTCCTGCTGGAAAATGAAGTCAGCATCTCCATAAAGCTCATCTGCGGAAGGAAGCATGAAATGCTCCAAAATTTCCTGGTAGACGGCTGCGTTGACCCTGGACTTAATAAAGCACAGTGGACCAACACCAGCAGATGACATGGCTCCCCAAATCAACACAGACTGTGGAAACTTCACACTGGACTTCAAGCATCTTGCAGTGTGTGTCTCTCCATTCTTCCTCCAGACTCTGAGTCCTTGGTTTCCAAATGAGATGCAAAAGTTGCTCTCATCAGAAAAGATGACTTTGGACCACTGAGCAACAGACCAGTTGCTCTCATCAGAAAAGTTGTCTTTGGACCACTGAGCAACAGACCAGTTCTGTTTTTCTTTAGCCCAGGTAAGACGCTTCTGACATTGTTTGTTGTTCAGGAGAAGCTTGACAAAAGGAATCTGACATTTGAAGCCCATGTCCAGGATCCGTCTGTGTGTGGTGGCTCTTGATGCACTGACTCCAGCCTCAGTCCACTCCTTGTGAGAGTCCCCTACACTTTTGAATGGCCTTTTCCTGACAATCCGCTCCAGGCTGCAGTCATCCCTGCTGCTTGTGCACCTTTTTCTTCCACACTTTTCCCTTCCACATAACTTTCTATTAATGTGCTTTGATACAGCACTTTGGGAACATCCAACTTCTTTTGCAATTACCTTTTGAGGCTTTCCCTCCTTATGGAGGGTATCAATGATGGTTTTCTGCACAACTGTCAGGTCAGCAGTCTTTCCCATGATTGTGATTCCTACTGAACCAGACTGAGAGACCATTTAAAGGCTCAGGAACCCTTTGCAGGTGTTATGGCTTAATTAGCTAATTAGAGTGGGACACTTTGAGCCTAGAATATTGAACCTTTTCACAATATTCTAATTTTCTGAGATTGTGGATTTGTGGTTTTCATGAGCTGTAAACCATAATCCTCTCAATTATGACACATCACAGCTTGAACTATCTTGCTTTGCATGTAATGAGTCTATCTCATATACTAGTTTCACCTTTTAAGTTGCATTACTGAAATAAATGAACTTTTGCACAATATTCTAATTTTTCAACTTTCACCTGTAGGTCATGAACATTTCCTGGGCAAATCTTTTTGAAAAAGGAAGAACTGGCTATAATATTAATTTATGAATTTATTCACCACATAAGCATGTTTCATTGTTTGTGGTGTTTCACCCCTAAAATAACTGCTCTGAAGTGTAGGCCCAAGTTTGTTAGAAAGGATAAAGATTCTAAGTTCCTCTGCAGCCCATGAAAATGACCATTTCCTCCCTCCCTCTTCATTTGTGCTAATGACATCTCTTATTACCTGGAGACTACTATATAACTCTACTCATCTGTCCATCATACAATTTGAGGATCAAGGTTTTTTTATTCACATAATGTCAATTTAATTTATATCAATAATTCTCTCAGGTTTATTACTTTCTCCTAAAATGAAGGAAGCAAAATAGTCTTGAAAATGATCTGTTAATGATGTCTCACATCTGTGTTTAGAAATAGATTAGATAAGCATGATGAAGCTAAGATTAAACATGCAAAATCAGGCTCAGGAATCGGGATGTTCTAAAATGAATTTAATTCCTTGCAAATGATCTGATTCATATCTTGCTTTCTCTTTCTGGGCTCAAATGGTAATAGTGAATTTGCATTGCTAAACTTTATGTGTCAGCTGTAGCTGTTCCTGAACTTGTTAGCACTTACTCATGCTTTAATTACATCATAACCAGAGGTAGTATTCAGCAAGTTCTGACCAGTTCTGGAGAACTAGTAGCAGAAATTTTGAGTAGTTCAGAGAACTGGCAAATACCACCTCTGACTGGCCCCATCCCCATCTATTCTCTGCCTCCCAAGTCCCAGTTGATTGGCTGGGTCTTCTTGTGTTGCCCTGCACAGGAGAATGGAGCTGAAAAGCAGGTTAGTGGGGTGAGGAGGGAATGGGATTTTGCAGTATCCTTCCCCTGTCATGCCCACCAGGCCATGCCCATGAAGCACGCCACGCCCACCAAGCCCACAGAACTGGTAGTAAAAAAAAATTGAATGTCACCAGTGATCATAACTAGATAGGACTATCCTTAAACCGTGCCCAAAGCGTTAGCTGCTCACCAAGTAACTCATACTTGATGTAATTGTATAATCTATATGTAAAGATCTGTGTTGGATAGCCAGTAGATTCTTCAACTCAGTTCAAAACTTTGGTCTTAAGGAGCTTGGAGCAGGGGTTTTCCATTTCTTTTTCAGGCCATGAAACTTGTTTTTTAAAATGGCTGAGGTGGAACCTCTAATCAAGAGGCAAAGCTCTTGTGGTAGAACATTGGTTTCATTTAAGTGATTTGCTTATTGGTTTTGCCCCTGGTTATTCACAGATCCTCACCAAGTTCTTGCGGAATCCATGGATCCCCCAGAATTTTTAACAGTCTGGCTTAAAACTCTGAGTCTATCTTTCATGAATCTTAATGTTTTCAAGAAAAAGCTTTTTAAAAGATGTCCCTGTTTTTAGAAGTCCATTTTCATGTTATCATTTTGTCTTTTTTTCTCTCTCCCCCCCTCTAAGAGAGTGTGTGTGTGTGTGTGTGTGTGTGTGTGTGTGTGTGTGTGTAAAGATGGAAGTAAAACTCAATAAATGACTCCACAATCTTTTTTGTTGTGAGCTTGTATATTATAAAGCATTTGTATCACAGCAACAAAGTCTAGCTATTGTGTTACTATGTGGCCCCTGGTCTTCAGATTTGCAGTGAAGTCAAGTGGGATAAGAAAAGCCTTTTGTGCTTATAGTCTCTTCACTATTAATCCTTCATTAAAGTTTGGCTAACAGGCCAGCCAAATCATGTCCTGCTGAGGCTGCAGAACGTTTGAAACTGCCTCCAGAATGAATTCTAAGACTGATGAAGCTATAAAGCTATAAATTTAGATGGACATGGTGTCTCCTAAAACTGTCTTCTGCTGCCTTCTACAGTTCCAAAGCAAAGAAACAAACAAACCACTATGTGTTCAGCATGTACTACATGAGTATAAAACAATAACATAACCATAAAACTGATATCATTATACAAAGTAGCATATTTATATTTATTTATATTTATATTTATCTTCTTTTAACACTATGTGTTCAGCATGAACTTCATGAGTATAAAACAACAACATGACCATAAAACTGATATCATTATACAAAGTAGCATATTTATATTTATATTTATCTTCTTTTAAAGTGACTAAATGGGAAAATCCCTTTTTTTTTTCATTTCTTACATTTATATTGCACTCCCCCACCAAACATGTGAGGTAGGTTGGGCTGCTAATGTCATTGGACTAAAGCACTCAGTGAGTGTCCATTACTATGAGTAGATTTAAACTTGCTGTTTAGAATCCTACTCCAACCCCTTAATCTTTCTGCCAAAATGATCGGCTCCCATGAGAGTTTGTATGCAGTAAAAGAAGAGTAAAAGACTTAGGCTGTGTCGCTGTAACACTCTTTGACCTCACACATCCTAGAAGCAAATAAAAATATAATTAGTTCTTGCTATTCTGATTTTTAATCTGGATTATATGAAGAACATGGAATCATTATCCTTTCATGTCTGTTTGAACTGAAGGATTAAAAATCCAAACAGCAATGTCTTTTCACTTTGGACCATTTTATCCAACAAAATCATTTCAATATAAAACTGCTCATGAAAAATCACCAGTCTTTAAAATATGATATTTCCTGTTAGTGTAAATGTGACCTAAATTGGCTAAATCCTCATATCATACAAACCCTTCACTCACTACCTAATACAGGTATATCTTTTAAACAAAAAAAAAAACTTGGTTCAAAGATTTTAAGACCTAAAGAGGATAAAGAGATTAAGATTATAACAGAAGCAATTAATCTGTATAAATAGGTTAGATCAAGGAGCTTTATTTGCTTTGAAGCATCCTTGAACTATATATGAATCATTCAATCTGAGTTGAGTGCTCTAGTTAGGCATAATATACTGTTTATTTCTTGAAACAAAAAAAACAAAAAAAAACCCACACACTATGAACAAATGTGTATAGCAGACTCTATCAGACTTTATTCTCCACTTATTTAATAAATATATATGGCCACCCATTTCAGATTTTGGGCAACTTATAATTAACAAAATAAATGGACAACAAACAAGGTTAAAAACAATTCAAAATAATAACCAGGAAATGAAATTTACCCCTCTAGGGGGAAATTCTAATCACTTAGCCCCAAATCCCAAAGAAAGGACAAAGTCTTTAGTACTTTTCAAGAAAGAGAAGCAGAGGCCATAAGAGACTGTGAGTCATTAATGACATGGAAATGCTTAACACTTGCCATCTAACTTTTGTTTTCCACTTAAAAAATTACATACCTCAAGATCAGCCACTTTCCTTCCAGAAGGGTGCCATGTTTACATGAATGAACCCAGAACCAACGAATAAGTAACTGTTTCAAATCCATGCCAATTCTTTATGGATTTACTTGAAAATCCATTCCACTTAATTTCCACATCAATCAGCATTTATTTTTGGATAAAGTATTTTCTAGCATATGCTTTTTTTTTTTAATGAAACTTTCATTTGTGTGTGCATCTTTATGTAAGGGTTGATCTGAAAACCGTGTTGTCAAATTTAGAAAGGTACATAAACCAAAAGATGGGTATGTTCCAATCTATATGTTACCCCAGGAAATATAAATGAGGTCAAGAAACTTAAAAGGTGGATGACACACTATTTCTTCCTCTCATCTCTACAAACACTGTTCCCTGTTCTTTATTACCTTTCTTCCATTCACAATAACAAGCATCTGAGGCAGCTTTTCATTTTAAAAATAACTTTGTTAGATATATTTGCATGCGATGTCATTTACCCTTAAGAATTAGAAAATTCAAAACACTTCCAGCCTTTCAGCTATGTATTTCTTGTTCCTCCTGTTCTTAACATAAAATTGCCTTCCTTGGCAGCCATACACTAGAAGATGTCCAAAATCAAATGCAGCTTCAACTTTTTACTTTTTTACATATGTGTGTGTGTGTGTGTATTATATTATATTGTATATTATAAAGTGTTTGTATTACAGCACCATTTATAGTTGTACATTTTAAAACAATTATTCCAATAGGTTAAAGATAAAAGTCTAGCTATTGTGTTACTATGTGGCTCCTGGTGTTCAGATTTTCAGTTAAGTCAAGTGGGATAAGAAAAGCCTTTTGTACTCATGTGTGTGTATGTGTGTGTATGTATGCAGATAGATAGATAGATAGATAGATAGATAGATAGATAGATAGATAGACCTTAATTACGTAAGTGTCTTTCTATACATGTTGTATTGACATAGGGATTCAGAAA